TAGTAGTAGTAGTAGTAGTAGTGGTAGTAGTAGTACTGTTATTGTTATCATACCCCCATCGGTAGACCCTCATCTAGACCTCTTCTTGAAACACCAGCAGGTTTGTCAGACAATATCTCTTTTCAACAATTCCGTGCTGACCTGGTACCAATCATCCGGTATCGACTACAAGTAGTGGTATTTTGCCTTCCGACTAGCGGCTCAAAGCACGTACGTATTACTGACGTCAAACTTACTAGTATGTTATTCTGGGCTTTTTGCCGGGATCCAGACTTGTGTGCTTCCACTACTGTGCGCCAGTCGTCCGGGATAGCTCCCAGTCTAAGCGACTCTTTGAATAATTCTATGATCAGATCCACTATGACGTCAGCCAGTGGTTTCACAACCGCTGGGTGAATTCCGTCAGGTCCCGCTGCCTTGATTCTACTGAGCACTGCCAACTCCCGCTGCACCTCCCGCAATTCCACAGTGATTGGTGGCATAGTGTAGTTACATTGTAATCGGAATAGTGCTGAATGTAGAAATACCAGAACCCGTAATACCCTACTCAGAACTGGATTGGTTTCAACCCGAACTGAGGACACCAATGAAATACACGAGGACTTGATAGCAGCAAATGCTTATATTTATTGATGGAATTACAGCATGTTTTATAGAGAGTAATAGGCCATATGATTAGTTGAACGGCTGTCGTCCAATCACATAACCGTTTGCGCCGACGCATCATGTGTACTAACTCGGATGTCATGTTCACCCGGTGAACCATTGGCCGAGCTTCCTGAACGGTGATTGGATGACATGAAGCTGTACCTGATCGTGCATCGATTGCGGTCTCGTAAGTCTGAATCACCACAAGTTACCTTCGATCGATGGAAATCTGTCTATCATCCTGAGGATCCTGTACGTGCATTTGACAACTGTAAAAATATACGTGCCCTATCACCGTCAGTCACTGCTAATTCTCCGATAGAAAAATCTAGAATACCAACGGTTTCCCGAGTGTTTCGCTCTGATTGAAGATATGCGTAGAAGCATTCAGGATTTCGCTTGGCGTTTTGCCCCAAGTTCCTCTCAAATTGGTATTTAGCCTCCATTTGCACTTTTGGGCGTAGTTGCGCTCCTATTTGTAGATATTGAATGCAGGTTATAGACTGCTCACCGTCTTCTACGAATGATTATAGCTCTATCTATATTTGCCTTCCACCAAAGAGGATTTTGTTTTTTAAATGGAACTAGGGGCGCGAACCGGTTGGTGCGTTGGTGTAATCCATCCATCCATTTGGTCTCCAGAGATGTATCGACTGAGTTGGGCACCCAGTTTATATTCTGTGCCATTCTAACCAGTTAGACCTGCTTGATGTTGTCATAGCGCCTTACTAGTTCGGCCTCTGGTTTGTTGTGCTTGGTTTCTAGCGTTAGTCGCAGGACCACATGATCACCTTTCCCCAGGGCTCCTCCAGAGTTATGTCTATTGGGATACTCGTGATCACTAGATCCAATATAGATGACCTGTCATCACTGTCACTGTCACTGTTAACCGGGTAACTGATCGCACGTGTCGTGATAATGCATGCCGATGCAGCCTCTCTCGTAGCAGGCTTTCTCCGGTACCGGCCGGTGCCCAGTTCCTATTCCAGTTAGTCTATGATATGTTGAAATCCGATACCAACAGTGCTCCTCTTGACGTGCCAAGGAATAATTACAGCTTGGCAATCAACTCATGATCTTCTGTTGCATGTGCCTGCGTAGCTCGCTAGACGCGCATGTCTCCCAATGCGTTTCTGTTTATTTCACCTACATAACGTAGGAGTCGCTAGGGTTGCTTTTGCCTCCCACTGACTATGGTTTGACTTTATCATCAGCAGAAACCTTCCTCCCTAACTGCCATTCATCCTATCTCTAGCGCTTATTTAGTCATTCATCCCTGAGTTGATGTGGTCCCTTCGCATTCGAGATTCCGTTATGGCGACTATGTCCATACCTAAGGTGCGCCTTCACACCTCTCCCCAGTATTCCCGTATGCAGAGAGCATTGATAATTCGCAGTATAACTGTGTCTGCCTCAGAATGCCTGCTGGATCTGGAATTCATTTCGGGAGAATCCTCGGGTGTAATACTCGAGGATTTACCCCGATGTTTTGGGGTGTACAGATGCCGTCGTGGCTTCTTCCACTTCCCAAACCATTCCGCTTTTCTCTCTGGAAATGACTTTTGTCATCATTCCAAAAGCCTTCTCAACCCCCATTGTTACCTCTGTAACGACCAAAACGCGATTGCCCTGGTCAGTTATATTCGTTCAATCAGAGGACTCTTCGCCCGTTCGAGATAACGATAACAGTAAACGGGCAGAAGTGCATGTGACATAATAATGGCGTCCGACCGGAGAGCAGGCTAACCATGGTGTGATGATTCATCGGTGGAAATTTCTAAACCTTCGAGTTTCCGCTTCCAACCACTGCACTGAGCTTCCTTTGCAACGTTTTGATCTAGCGTTTGTATTTTCGTCTTCGCAGTAGTTTAACAATCTTCATTCCTACGAATAACAGATCCGAAACCGGTAGTCTCCCCTAAGGACTCAGTAATGGCCGGTTAAGCTTCGAAAATTGTGATACTTTAAACATCCCAAACCGAGAGAGCCCCGTGAGGTATTATTCAGTTCAGCAGACGGTAACCATTTATATCCCGACATTATTAATCTCATGGTATATTTTGCTCAACTACAACCATTTCAAATCATTTTATTTTATTTTGTGTTACATTGAATAATAATTACGGTTTCTCTAGATCTTATATAAATGTCAATTATGAGCACTTTTGTGTTACTTCGTGACCCTGACAGTATAGTTGTCCATTTAAACTTCCACAAAGTACTGAACCAAAGGGCAGGTTTTTCCTTGCATTGATTACATGCAGGATCATGGTCTGCTTCCTTTAGAAAATTTATTTGAGTGTGGGTATATGATGCATAGCAGGAGTACAAGTAGAGCAGAGATCATTTTGTCCTGCAATGCTGCGGGTACAAGAATTAAATCCATCCGTTTGAAAATGTTTTTGAGACAATATGAATGAGCTTTATAGTTTAAGCTTTCAAACCAGACAATTCCAGATGAAATTTAAAGCTTATGGAACATATAATATGGTTTAATTCTTGTTACATATTACACCCTTTTTTCTAGCATTTTCCTCACTATGATTGCCATGATTGTTATTATTTTATCACTTTCGATATTATTATGATTAACATCTTTACTTGACATGTGATGGAAATGTTTGCGATAACCGACGAAGAGTATTGGACAGCTGTTTCGTCCTGTTTGGGACTGGTCAGCAGTGCGTAAAAGAGTGCCTGATGCCTCTTAACAATCGAATGGACTAATCGAAGCTTGCTACTCGAAAATCTTTACTTGATATGTCAACATCTGTACTCGAAACGTACCTTTTCATCCAGATTTTGAGTATTCTTGTTATATACCACTCATTAGTAGATCAGTCCTAATTTCAAAATAATATCAAGAGACGTGAACGAAAAATGTCCCCCAGGGATCTTTTGAATGCTGATTACGCCGTTTTATCTTCTGAAGACATTTTTTCTTGGAGACGTCCTTCTGAATCGGTTACTGTCGAGGCAAAGACCGTTTAGGAGACGATACCAACGCTTCGCCCATTCAACGCTATCTGAACACCGTTCTGTTCGTGTGGAGTTTATCGACCCTTCCCAAACGCAGTTCTAATATCCATTGTGCCACTGGAACATAAGAACCAATCAGCAGCTTTACCCGTTTACTGAAGTAACGAAAAAACCGGATATTATAGAGGTTCTCGACGAATTAACCTGTTTTGTTGTAGGCTTTGCTTTTTTATTTGAGTTTCTTGATTTGTTGATTAATTCCGTTTTGTTCAGGATGTTATTCAACTGGATCGAAGATAAATTTCCAAATATCGGGTTTTCGGTGGACCCTGGAACCAGTATTGATAGACAAAATCGTGGATCATCCCATTGCCCAGGTAGTCTGGATAATCTGACTTCAATTAGTGTGTCATTGGATTCATTGTCTGAAAACGCCAAGGTTTCGATAACTTCATTACTACATCAAAATCATACCGGAATTATGCATAAAACAATTAAATTTTATTTTTTCTATTGATTTGAGCTGACTATTATTCGAAATAATCTTCACGAAAAATCCTCTGATCATCCACTTAACCACAAACTCGCAAGCACTAGACTCGAGTTCCGTTCTTATTTGAGCTCATCAGTAGTGTATATCCACCGTCCCGTCTTGGATTTGAACTCCGGACCCATCGAAAGGCTTTCGATTGGAGTTAACAGTATGTCACCTGTGTCACCCTTCGTTGCTGTCGGGCCAAATCAACTGACTATCACTGGAGACGACACCTGAACAAACATGAATCGCCAATTTGGTTCAGCCATGGTATGAGCTGTTTAGCACATTGGTAACGCACACGCCTTCCATGCGATGGGTCCGGAGTTCAAATCCTGGCGGCGCACTTTACCCGTAGAGAGCTTTCTAGACTAAGGTCGGCGCTAACATGTAGAAAACCATAGGTAACTCTGTACAAGGCAATTGTTCAATCGCATCTAGAGTATTGTATACAAGCCTGGGCTCCCTTCTTCAAAATGTACGCCACTTGTCTCGAGGGGGTCCGGCGATTATTCACAAGGATGATTGAAGGACAGCGAGGGAGATCATATAAACAGAGACTGTAGAACCTTGGACTCTTCTCCTTGGAAAGCAGAAGAGTCCGAGGTGATTTGATAGAGGCATTCAAAATTATGAGTGACCTATCAGGGACGGATCAAGCAGTATTCTTCGAGAGAATGCAAAGCAATACCAGGGGGCACATGTACAAGCTGAAAAAAGTGTGCACGAGACTAGCGGTGCGTTCAGATTTCTTCAGTAACAGGGTAGTCAACTCATGGACTACGTTACTAAAGGAGCTGGTGGAGTAGGGAGCATACATGCTTTCAAGAAGGAGCTCAATAAGCGCTGGTTGAACCTATTTTCCGAATTAGACGCATAGGTTAAGGTCTTGAAACAGTGGTAGATTTTTGCAGTTACTAACCACCCCGACAGGGGAACGCTTCCAAATGTGATGTTTCTCATCTGAACAAGGGGAGATATTTCCCCCCTTTCTATTCCTTTGCAGAGGCGAAGACGACTGGGACGAGAAGAAAACTTGTAGAACTACAATACTGAACATTAGTAGTGGTAGGGGCCAACACGTGGCTTACTACGAAGGAAAACTGGACGCTCGATTGGCCGTGGCCATCTCCTGTCCTGTGCAAACTGACTGACTGACTGACCGACTGACATTCTTATTAAGAAAGCTAGACAAAGTTGATGTATTGATCGCGACAATGTCGTTTTTAACATATAATACACAATATCTTCAGGGACACTAACTTCCAGTTTGGTTTCATTCTTCGGAATGGTCGAAATTTCGGATTTTTGACTATTCACCAAAATCTGGATTGCTAGAATAGCAGAATTCAAGTTTATCATCCCAGCTTGACGTTCAGTAAATAAATAACGGTGAGTTAATTGGAAGCTTCTCTTGTTCTAATGTTAAATCTGTGACTACTTAAGCCCAATAAGGTGGAACAGTCCTTGACAATCGTCGGAAACTACATTTCACAGCTCTGTTTGACTCATGTTTTATTTGAGTTCGGGTGGCTTCGCATACCCTCATCTATTGGGTCTTCGCAATCAGACCAGAATTACGATATAAATGAGTAGGAGCCTTATCGGTAAAGCGGTTTACGAGAGCAAGGGCAATCATGTGGTTTTGCCCAAAACGCTTGTTTAATTTTTCTTTGGTCTTTTGGTAACCCCTCTCACCATCTAAAATGGCCGGGTCTTCAAATGG